AGGCTCCGGCTCGTGGCACCAGCAGGAACTGCCGGGAGGCACCTCTGTGTCCTCTTTGTTAAGAGAAGCCTCTCGTACACTCACTCGCACACACGCACGCTCACAGCACGCGCACTCGCACGCGCACTCGCACGCACACACTCTCCGGTACCCGACAGCACAGCTCCTCCTCTCTCCCAGGCCCTGTCTGACTCAGAAATGAGCACGTGCCTCCCATGGCCTGGCCCCACAAGACAGCTGCTTCATGCTTACTGATTCCTTCAAAAAAGAGATTTAAATAAATATTAAGTTTTTCCTCATACTCTAGCATAGCTGTATCTATGTGCTGGGTTGTCGAGGAAGCCATGATGCATTTTTACATAGAAAAACACATGTTGACTTTCCCAGTGGCCTGATCTATAGACATACTAACAGACATGCTGCATATAGATGTACGACGTCAAGAAAGATCCACAACACGAGTATGTCTGTGCGCACTCACGAACGTATCACTATCTTCTCCTTATAAAGCCACCACCCGCTTAGGTCTGAAATGACTGGTGGTGTTTCTCACTAGGCCTCCCCTGCCTCTGCGTCCCCCACCTCTGTGTTCCTGGTACTGAGGGATCCAGAGCCAAAAAGCTGTGTTTCTGCTGTGTCCTCTATTCTGCACTTATTCAGGTGAGAGTCAATACATGATGACAAGAGCATTTGGTGCTGAAAGAGCAGGTGCAATTCGGCCGCAAAGGGCACATCTGGGGAAGCAGGTCTGAGAAACCCAGGTGGGAGGTAGACAGCGTTCAGCGGAGGGCACCTCACATTCCCCTGAGAAAAGTCGAGACCCCCAGTGCCTGAAACGCTAGTGTCGACATCTAGTCTTTTCAAATATTGGTACTGTCCTCTCTGAGCGAATGCCCAAAGAATCACGTGAGTCTCACCGTAAACCCCATGTCTTACTTTCCTCCCTGGGAGAGTCTCAGGAAGACGAAGTGGCCGTGCCCCTTCCTGCTACCTCCACAATGAACATCTGGAGGCGCGAACACAGTGGCTCCGCAGGTTTCCATGTTACATCTGACGTAAGATCTTCTGGACCCTGTCGCGCTCTTCTGCATCAGCTTTTATTTTTTAATGGACATGCTTTATTCAGTGAATGGGATACAGTGACTTTTCAGTACACGAATAGGATAGGGCAAACCAGGCTAATGAACACGCGTCCTGTAAACTTTGGTCATCGCTTCGTATGAAGACATTCAGAGTTCTCCCTTAGGGCTACCTGAACTCCAGTCATCCTCCTGCACTCGGGAACACTAGAACAGCTAACCTCACTGTGGTTTCTTAACCAACATCTCTCTAGTTGGCTTTTGGGGTATAAAAACAGTATTGATTTTTGTATTTTTTATCAGTAATTTTACTGAATTTGTTTACCAGTTCTGAGATTTCTTTTTTTAAGAGAGAGAGAGATTTTTACTAGAGGGTGTGTATACTTGCCAGAGATACAGAGAAACAGAAAGTGAGAAATCATCACCCACTTGATCAATATGGGTTTTTTCTTTTCTATTTTGCTTTTTGATTTTATTTAATTAGCTATTAAAAGGTACAGCTGTTTACCAGGGAGAGCGAGGGAGGAGGGAGAGAAATCACCTGGCAATCATTTTCCCTCTGTTTCTCCACCCTGTCAGCATCTGAAGAATGTAAACATGTGCCCAGTGAATTTTTCAAGCTGCCAGGGCCAGGACTCAAACCTCTGTCAGCCACGAGAATTCTGGTTCCAAAGCACAGCACCTGACCACTGCACTACAGGCCACTCTGTGTATGATTTTTTTCCCCAAAAAATCTGAACATGTTTTTGGTATTTATGGAGAGAGATGAAGTACATGCAAACCTTTCCTTACTATAATCAACCAGAGTCACTTGCTTTCCCCTGAGTAATTACCCTGATTCCTTTAAAAACCCATTCCTGGAGACCAGCAGATGGCATAACGGCTACATCACGGGACTCCTATATATTCAACCGTGGTTCAAGTCCTGGACCCTGTGGCTTAAACTCACGTCGGGCGCGTGTGCGTGCGTGCCCAAGATCCCAAAAGGAGAATGTAGGAGAAGAGATTGCGGTGTGACCATCCCCTCTGGGGGGTGATTTCTTGCTTTCTGTCTCTGTCTCTCTCTGTCTTTCTGGCAAATGTACACACCCTATAGCAAAACCTCTCCAAAAAAAAAGAAAACAAGAATAAATCAAAGTAAAATATAGTCATTCAGCATAAATTTTACAATTACTTCAATAGTTACATAAAAATTGAAAAATTATTTGAATCTTTAATTATAGCTTTTGAAAATCAGATACTCTATAATACTAAAACTTACATGTGATCCTTTATATGTGCCATTAGATTCAGTTTGTAGAGATTTTTGCATATGCGTTTTTCGGGCACGTTAGTTTATAGTTTTCTCTTTTTGTTGTGTCCTTGTCTGGTTTTGT